ATATATTAAAAAAAAAAAAGACTTGGGAAGGAAGTCAGAGTTGGAAAAAGGCAATGAATGGCCTAGGACTGAGCAAAGGCCAAAATAGTGTTCTGAGAATAGTGATTCCACCAGTTCTGGGGTCACTGAGCTCTGGGTGTCTCTGCTAAGCAGTTGATGAGGGCAGCATTTTTCTCTTCCCAGGCGTGGAAGACAGGCCCATTCCTGCCTCTCCAGGAGAAGTTGACGTTTTCTCCCTGCTACTTCGTACCATCTGCATGGACTTGGAATAAAGGCCCACTCTCCAGATGACAAAGGTGGGCTCTAGTTAGGGGATTGTACCATTGGCTCTATTTTAGAACAGCCACTGGTAGCTTATCAGGTGTCATACTTGTGGTTCCTTGGTGGGATTGAAGTTTGGGTTCAGAGGAATGTTGGTAGACAGACAGATCAGGATGTCCTCTGTAGAATGGGATTAGGCCTCTGGGAGGTGGAGATGGTCACTCACCTGCCTTTGCCCCAGGGGGCAGGAAGAAGGCCAACAGGAGCAGGAGCAGCTGCATCTTCACAAGAAGGCTTCCCAGTCACAGCTGCTGAAGCTTTGTCCTTGCTGTCTTTTAGCCCCCAGCAGAGAAAGGTGAGGAGTTAGCTCAGTGACCATCTGTTTCCTTCTGGTCTTATGTGCTTCATCATGGCGGGCTTTCTAAGAAAGTGCCCCACCCCACTGCTTCTCCCTGATGACGTCTTCTGAGTGATTGTGTGAGAATCTTACAGTGACCACAGCTGATGACTCAGAGCAAACCACCTGTTCCAGCTCACAGGAGGAATCCAAGAGTGTAAGGTGTGGACTGTAGGATGTGGTATTGCCCAGAACAGCTTCAGAAACCTGGGTTGCTAGTGACAGAACTAACAATGCCAGCTTCTAAAAACATCAGGATAGTCTGAAGCAGATGAGCATTAGGCCCATCTCTTGTGCTAGGAGCAAGGATGTTGGAGAGAGAGCTGACCATCTGGTGAAGGAGACAAACTCCCCGTAACCCAGTTTCAGAAAGGCCATGGTGGAGTAATGTACTAAGCAGTAACAAAGCATGGCCACCATCTACAAAGCCTACTCTTAAATCATCATAGCCCCCTTCCAAAGGGATCTTAAACATCTCTTTTTTAATTATAAATATTCAGTGTGATGGAGTCAACCTCTCTTCTCAGTATTTTTAAACAAAATTTCTGTACTTGACATTTATCATTCTAAATTAACAAATTGCTGTGGGCCGTAGGAGTTCAATCAATGAACTGATTAGTTTTCTCCTTCTACTTTGGGGAGACTGTCGTGGATCATAGCTGAACCACCTGAACTAAGGATGGAAAAGGGTGGTTATCCAAAGGATAGTGAGGTCATTACACCATTGATACATGGTAAATCTTCATTGTTAACTTGATCGACTTGAGAGATGTCTAAGAGATTAATAAAGCACACTCTGGGTTTGTTTGGGTGGTGATTTGATGTGTGATGTTGGGGTCTATATCTGGGAACTGATCCCTTGTCTTCTGTGCTCTGTTTCCTGGGGAATTCAAAGTGAGTGGCTTTGCTGCACCAAGCCCTTCTGCCGTAGTGTTCCTCCCTTGGAGCCAGCCAACCATGGACTGAATCCTCTGAGACCACTTTGTTTGAGGGGCAACTGCACCTCTCAATAGTTGGATTGTGGTGATTAAGCTTCCTTTTTATGCATCTACATTTCACATATTTTGCATGAAATTTATTATGTTTGAGAAGATGAAATTCCAGTGTAAGCAACTTCCTTGTCAATAGAGAACATTTATCAAAACTCTGCATGTTTTCAACTTAACTTTCCCAATAGTATACAATTTAAAAGTACAATCATCTTTCTGATTGCATACATGATATATGTTCATTAAGAAAATTCGGAGAGTAGAAAGGAAAAACAACAGTTACTTCTCTATCTCCCACACAGAATTTAAAAAATGTATTAATGGGGCTGGGGATTTAGCTCAGCAGTTTTTGCTGCCTGTTGCACAAGCACAAGGACCCGAGTTCCATCCCCGGCACCAAAAAACAAAACAAAACAAAACAAAAAAAATGTATTAGTACATGTTTGTATTATGTAATGATTCCATTTAATGTGGGGTGTTGGTGCATAACGCATCTTATTTCTTTTTAGTCCACTTCATGTGCCCCCTCTTTCCCCTCCCTCCATCTCTTAGTCCACTTTCCATTTGAAAAAGATTTGTCTCTTAGCTTCCTATTATGTTTTATTTTGCTCTTTAATTTATTTATACTTTGGGATTTTCATATAAGAGAAACTGCCTGTATTTACGGCTGTAAGAATAATTTATTTCTCTTAGCATTATGGTCTCAAAGTGCATCCATTTTTCTACAAGTGACTCATGTTTTCCTTCTCCATAGAAGACTACTACTCCATTGTGTGCAAATACTACATTTACTTTATCTATCTACTGATGGACATATATGTTGGTTCCAAGACGTAGCTGTTATGAGTTGTGCTTCTATAAACATGGGTATGCATGTATCACTGTAATAACATGTCTTCAGCTTTTTCAGGAAGATACCTAGAAGGGAAATGGTATGTTTAGTTTTTTTGAGGCATCGCCATACTTATTTCCATAGTCTCACATACAGACTATTAAACTCATGTAGTGAGCATATTAAATATTTGGAAGAATGCTGTATATACAATGCAATTTACTTTTTAATTCTATTTATTTTCACTTAACCCTACAATTTAAGCATTTCAACCACATTTAAAAAACCCAATCAGTCACTATCACCATAGTACTTATTTCCTAGTTTTATTAAAAAATTTAACATGCAATTAATTTAGAAAGTTGTAGAAGTTCAGTTTATTTTATCTTTTATTGTTTATGCTTTTGGTATCAAATGTAAGAATCCATTATCAAATCAGGAGTACATACATGAAGATTTACTTTATGTTTTCTTCTAAGTGTTTTATAGTTTTAGCTATTAAAGGTAGGCTGTTTAGCCATTTTGAATTAATTATCATTTATGGGATGAAGAAGAGGTTGACTACGTTATTTTGTTTTTGGCTATCCAGTTGTCCCAGCCCCATTTATTGAGATATATTCTTTTTCCACTGAATGATCAAGACCTCCTTGACCACTTTTACCAAAAATTAGCCATAAATATTGGATTTTTTTCTGGACTCTGAATACTATTCAGTTGGTCTGTATGTCTGTCTTTATGTCAGCACCACATTGTTTTGATTACAGCATTTTATAGTACATTTTGAAATTGAGAAATGTAAGTTCTCCAACTTTTACTTTCTCAATGTTATTTTTAATCATTGGGATCACTTGCAATTCCCTCTGAATTTTAGGATATGCTTTTCCATTTCAGCAATTACAGATGTTGTAATTTTGATAGAGAATGTGCTGAATCTGTACATTCTGTAGAACCTTTGCTGAATCTGTGGAAGTGTCCTTTTTTTTGGGAAGTGTTCTTAATATTAATTAATTAAACTTATTAGTATTAAGTCTTCCAAACTATGAACACTAAATGTCTTTTCATTTAATTAGATATTCCTTAATATATTTCAGCAATGTTTTGTAGTTTTTGTGCATAATTCTTCTATAAAAGTTAAATTATTTCCAGATATTTATTCTTTTGGATGCTTTTATACATGGAATTATTTTCCCTTTTGGATCATTTATTATTGGTGTTTAGAAATACAACTGATCATGCACCTTGCAAATATTGAATTCATTTATTAGTTTTACTGTTGTTTTTTGTTTAGATAATTTGGGGTGTTCTTTATATACAGTCAGTTATCTGCAAATAGAAATAGTTTCTAGTCAGCGAATTTTTCATTTCAGCTATTACACTTTTAAGCTTCAGAAATAAAGATTTTTTTTTTTGGTACTGGGAATCAAACTCAAGACCTTGCACTTGCGAGGCAGGTGGCAGAACCACTGAGCTAAATTCCTGGCCTGATTTTTTTTGTTTTTAATCAGACCTCCCAAATTTAAAGACCCAATCCAAAAATGGGCATATGAAATGAACAGACATTTCTCAGATAAAGAAGTAGAAATAGCAAATAAATACATGAAAAAATGTTCAACATCACTGGTCATTCGAGAGATGCAAATGAAAACAATGCTGAGATTCCACTTCACTCCAGAAAGAATGGCTGCTATCATGAAATCAACCAATAACAAATGCTGGCCGGGCTGTGGGGAAAGAGGAACCCTGCTCCACTGCTGGTGGGAGTGTAGACTGGTGCAAGCACTGTGGAAATCAGTATGGAGATACCTCAAAGAACTAGGACTGGAAGTCCCATTTGACCCTGCTATTCCACTGCTGGGGATCTTCCCAAAAGAATTAAAAGAATCATACCACAGTGATATATGTGCGCTCATGTTCATAGCAGCACAGTTTGTGATAGCTAAAACTTGGAAACAGCCCAAATGCCCATCAATTGGAGACTGGATAAAGAAAATGTGGTTTTTTAATAAAATGGAGTACTACTCAGCCATAAAAAATGAGAAATTAGAGACATTTATAGCTAAGTGGATGCACATTGAAGTGATACTCTTAAGTGAAATAAATAGGACACACATGAATAAATACTGAATAGTTTCTCTGGTGTGAGAAACTGAAAGTGTAAATAAGGACTAAATGTATAATAGGTAATGTGAAATAGGAAGAAAAGGGGCAAAGGAAGGAAGTGAGAGGGCTAGGGGAAAGGATAGAAGGGAATGGGATTAATATGAGAAAATGGAAAAATAGGAACAAAATTTTTGTAAATAGGGAGGACTGGAGGGGTTGAAGGGAGGGCTGGGCAAGGGTGAAAAATAAGAACCAAGAGAGACTATGTAAAGGTGCAAATTTCCAATGATGAATGTCATTATATTGTATACCTAAAATGTACCAATGATTAGAATGAATAATTGATAATGCAAAATAGGAAGAAAAGGTCCAAAGGGGTAGGGGTAGTGGGAGGGGCAGGGGAAAGGAAAGAAGGGAAAGGACAAATGATGAGAAATGGAAAAAATGGAAATAAAGTCTTTGTAAATAGGGAAGGGTGTAGGAGGTGAAGGGAGGGTTAGGAATGGGGAAAAAATAAGAACCAAGATGCATTATGTAAAGGTACAATTCCCAATGAGAAATGTAATTGTGTTGTATACCCACAATGTACCAATAAAAGAATTTAATACAAAAAAGAATATTCTTTACTTTTTTGTACATTGCATCTGACTTCCTTTAGTTATTTCTCAGTTTCCTTCAGCTTTTTGAATTTCAGATTTAGTGGCTTTAAAATCTTGGTGTAGTCTATCCAGTATCTAGGATTTCCAAAAAATATTTTGAGTAAATTTCTTCTTTTTTTGTGAATGGTTCATACTTTATTGTTTCTTTTTATTCTCTGTGATTTTTTTTTTTTGCTAAAAACTGGGCATTGTTTATATTGTAGTTGTGAAGGTCACCTCACATTGCAATGGCCACTTCTCTTCCTGTAACATTTTGTTTATGCAGGGCCTGAAGGACATACCTTACCTTTCTAGAGTGATGGACCCTTTTTCTTATTATCTTTTTCAGGGTCTCATGCAGTGTACTTTCTTACCACATCTATAGAGGATGTGGCAAACGTTTATTTTGGGGTAGGT